AGATAGTCGATCTTAGCTAAAATCACAAAATAGAATACGGTGTATGAATAGAATACGGTAAAACTACCTAGCTAAAATCACAAAATAGAATACGGTATATAAATAGAATACGGTAAATTAAAAACCGATAAAAATAAGAATCAGTTGCATCCGGAAATGCAATTTTCAGGATATCAGATGAAATCGATGATCATACACAATATAAGGATAGTTGGATGTGATTAATTAGTAGATTAGTTTTACATTTGATTAGTTACTAGATAATTTCACCTGTATTGCACCGTTGATGCATGGAGCAAACTTCAAAGGAATGTCACTTTCTGGCAACTCAAAATAATCAAGGCGACTCAAAATATCTTCCGGCGGTTTTTCCTCCTTGTTTGTTTTTTTTTGGCCTTGGGCTCTAAGTGTTTTTGTTCGGGTCTAGATTTCTCAGCATCCGTAATCATGAATTTTATGAAATCGTCTGGCAGTGATTCTCTGGCGACTCGTTTCCTTGACTCGCCTTGTGACTCGTTTCTCAACTCGGGAGTACCTAACGTATAAATTGCCACTGCATGATGGTCCATTCCCCGCAGTATCCCGAGGTATGTCGACCAAAAGAACTGTGCACTGGGACCCTAAAGGGTCGTTGATGATGACAATCCCTTTTTTGACACTCCCAGCATGTTCAAAAAAGACCATCGAGTCCCTGTGCAGCCGTCTGGGGTTGAACGATATTCTATCTTTTCTCGAATTCCGTCTTCTGCTGATGACACAAGTATCATTGTGTTCGTGGAATTTTCTTATATTCCATGCTGTTGCGTTTTCTTTTCTGTCTTCTGGGCCACTAAAGATGGCACTTCCCGGCCAATCAGACCATTTAATCTTTACGCACCAATCGCTGATTAATGATAAAATTACAGCACTTTCCCAGATTGGAAGTGACGGCATCGAGGACTTGTACTTTTTCCCTTACCCGAAAAGTTCTACTTAGCATGATGACAAGGATGAAAGACTCTAATATATGACTGAGCTGAGAAGCTATTGAATGTTTGAAATGAAATGAGCATTGGTTCAAGAACTAAGTAATGACAGTTTCCCTGATAATGGCGGCTTTACTGATAAGAAGTGCACTGTCTAGTTCCACTTATCAGTATGACGCCTTCATTATCAATTAACCGTCTTATCTTTAGGCAGTCATTATTGCATAGATGCTACAGTCGCCTGGTGGGCTAAAAAGGGTGGAAAGTGTCGAAGCTATTCCTTGGTGGACTCTTATCTAGATATCCTGGTGTTTCGATTAAATTGGTGCTGATAAGCGATGGGAGCTTTACCGCTAAATTGGAGTCAGTTCATCACCATCTTGTGCTCAATATTAGTTGCACCTCTCATTTTTCATCCCAACCTAGTAAAAACTTACGGACTCAAAGTAAATGTCCAGCGCCGAAAACTCATGTTCAGTGCCTTCCAGTTCTCCATCACCATTTGCAGTGCCTTCTAACATCCCTGTGCCTCCGTCACCACTAGCAGCACCAGAGACGACATCATTTGCTACTCCGACACCGGTAATCCCTTTGCGAGCACCACCGCGAGCTTTTGTCTCGCCAATTCCGCCGACATATGGGCAACCACATACCCCTCTGCGACATGTCCATTCAGGCCCCTGCACCTACACTCCCACGGAACCCCGAGCCCACGAAATTACAGACAACATGAACGACGAGCCCACAGAAAGCCGCAAAAGGGATCATGCAGAGCCAGATAATGTAGGCGAAACTGTGAGTTGAGGAAACAACTTCACATTACACAAGCCTAAAGGTTTTGGTAAACCAAACATTGAAACTAAATCATATTCAATTTCAGCAACCTGGAAAAGCCTCCCGACCCGAAAACCTGATAACAAACGAGACTCTCAAAGAAGTAATTTTACAAAATGTCCAGAAGTCGAATGACTGCGCTGATAAAAGAAACGGAACCTTGACCCACAAAGAACATTTGACCTTGTTCAGGGCCATTGTCACGTTTCTGTTCACGTGGACAGGGATGCTCGAGAAAATGAGCATCAACACCACGGTACATGCTGTCGTCCAGGTGATTGTCAACATAGAGGAAAAAAATGAAGACAATACCGTGGAGCTGAGCATAGAACCAGCAGCCTGTAAGTATCTTTTCAAATCTAAAACACTGATTTGATTTAAAAAAAAACACTGATGACTCGATTTCGTGACTCAATTTTATAGTGTCAACTTCTCGCGTCCAATTTTAGAGTACCAATTATTGAAGGCTTTTTCATTCGTCAATACGCCAATTGCGATGAGAATAAATTCGAGGAACTGGAGATGGACACAAACTCTCTGTATCTGGCATTAGCCGAAGAGAACTTGGAGGATAGAATTTTACCTGAGAACAAAGCTCAATGTCTACAAATCCGAGGAAATGTCTGCAGAGATGACTTTATTGCCGATGCAAAGAAAAATTTCTTCCCACGTACATGCTGCGCTGTCCATAAAAAGTAGGACAAACGAGAACCCGGTCTATTCAAAGAATTTCGCTGTACTGAAATGTTGTGCCTGTGCAGGAAGACATATTACTGCTACGATAGTAAAAGCGACAAATTTAAATTTAGCAGCAAAGGACTCAACAAAAGAACGCTAGAAGATACTGGGGATGGATCAATGTCTAAATACAGACGAAGCTGTCAATTTAAAGTTCAAAACCTCCAACCATTTAGTCGGAACATATGAACAAACTAAAAAAAGGCCTCAGTTACTTTTACCCGAAAAGGGAAGTACTTAGTGATAGAATACATACTAAGCCATTGAACTTGTAAGTTTAACCTGTAAACTGTAGTAAAATTTTATACGATGCAATGATATATATGTTGTTTAACTTTGGAACTGTAATATAACATTTTACAGTAATTTAATTTTTTTCTGAAAAATTTGATTTCTTCTTTGAAGCTTCAGTTAGGTTTCACCATAGTTTCAGACACTTTCAATATAAACTCAAATGGCTTAGAACAATTTAAAAACATATCTTAATTCATACATTGCGAAATCTATTGGATTGGTGTAGAGAATCTTAACACATGGTAAGATGAGGCGCCGAAAATTTTTTGAAACTTACCATCTTACACTATGAAACCTATTACCTTAATTCTAGGGAAATCTATAGCCTATGTTAATACATAGGGCGCTGACCGGATACTCTATAACCTATGTTAAATGTTAAAACATGGGGGTCAGCACCCCCCCCCCCCTGATCGGATCGCCTCACTCATATACTACTAAAACATAATAAGAGAAGATAGAAATATGCGTCAAACTAAAAAAACTTTGCTATGTATCGACCTCTAACTTGTGACCTCAAGACTTGGAGTCTTACGCCCTGCCCTCTCGGGCACGAACACTTAACAAACGGCAAACACGGTTCACGAATAAAGCAGCTACATAAGCTAACAAAATCTCAATGACATGCAGCAAAAGAGGCGCGAAAAACAAATAGACCCACCTTTGCAAGTAATAGTTAGGAATATAACGAACTGAAGGCATCCACACTAACTTTTCATGTAAAAAATTGGAACACATAAAAGCATTTTATGTATAAATTATGCATTTCAAAAAATTGTGAAAAAAATTGAGTTAGAAAATTTCTAAAATCGAGCTTTTATAGTTACGTTGTTTGAAACAAATAGCTATTTTCGGTTCATTTGATGAATTTAAAATGTATTGGCTGTATTAACTTATTACTATTCGAAAGTCAAAGCACATGCTATCAAAAAGCCGTAAAGGTACCGTAAAAGTGGCACCAATGTTTGCGAATTAGGTCAGCAAAAAAGAGGTCGTAGTATAAGTATTCACTAGTGTAAACAGCAAAAATGTTTAATTCGCCAAAAACCTGATAGACAAATTTTCCATTTGATCCAGTTTTCTCAAATTGAGTTAATATCATCAAAGTGTCATCATTTTTTGAAATTCAAAGAACCTTAAGGACTTTTTTTGAACATTCAAAGTTTTTCTCTAAAAAAATCGATTTCAATCTGTTTGCTTGCGTTCATTACCCTTCTCCAACTGTCAGTTGGCGGCTATGTTTATTCATATTTTGTATTGGTGCTAATTATATCAAGAATACTACTAAATCACACGCACTGTGATTTACTAGTATGGGTGACTACTTTTTTTATTTATGGGTGGTAATAATGTGAAAAGCCCTGGTTTTGTTGTCAATTTTATTCGGAATTTTTAAGACCAAAAAAGTAATTTTGGATGTGTACGCCTGACTGTTACCTTTTCTCGTCAGTATAATTTTCACTTTCTAACCGCATATCTCTTTACTAACCTATCGTGTCTGATTTCACTTCTAATTCTAGGTCGAGACATATCCCTGTAATTGAGGTCATGTCACTGTGTCCTAGAAGGCAATAGCCTTAAAATTGTTCGGGATTGCATCGAAATCTTACCTCGACCGACCTATGAATCTAAACAACTCAAATCCTGGCAAGCTTTTCAATTCTCACTTCAACCTCAATCTGAACAGGAATAAACCGCATTTCAACAATTCTGCGCCCGCTGCTGTTAATAACCCTCCTGGACCTAACAATCAATTGGTCTACCAGCCTGGTTTGAGCGAATCGAAGAAATTTGGCAGTCAAAATGGACTGAAATTAAGCTTTTATTCTGTCATTAATTCCAGATATAACTTTTTGTTTCTTTCGTTGCCAAAATAAAATATTTATCTTGAATTCCTGTGCTAATATTAAATTTAACTTTTTACCATTCAACTGAACAAAAATAGATAAGAAATAATATTTTTTTTGATTAGAAAAAGCCCAGATTTAGAAAAATTCTGAACAGAAATTAGACTAGAAAAGAGCTTTTTCTGATTAGAAGCAGCCTATATTTAGAAAATTTCTAATCAGAATTCAGATTTAAAATAAAAAAAAAATTTAGAAAACCATGCTTTTTTTTCAAAATTTTACAAAAAATTTATGACCAGAAATTCAGATTGGTAATTAAGTATTTGGCAGAATTAAAGAATTTCTTAGGTACGGGTAGCATATTAATTGAGTTCATGTTACTAAGCAAAATGTGATAAATATCATAACTGATTGGTCAGCATTCAATCTACCGTGCTACTGTGTTATACATCGAGTATCAAAGGTTAATTCAATTAGCTTCATTTTTCTACTAGTCGTGGCTGTGCAAATCAATTTCAAATTGATACTAATATGTGATAAGTTCCACAGTCATCACAGGTTAACTAGTGACTCTCCTTCCATTTCTTCCGGCACTGGCAAACCTAAAAATTCCAGAACAGTCGGTGCTACATCTTGAAGAGTCGTGTTTCTGGTCACCTGTTTCCACGAATATTTCGACTGAAACAAACAAATCACTTACAGAGGCAGGCAATAAGAAAAAACATTTTAAACCAGTAGCGGATTTAGGGGGGGCGGACGCCCCTCCTTAGGGATTCGACCCCCTGCCGACCCAAAGGGTCCCCCCTATGTACTATTTTGAGATATCCATTTTTGGCTGACTGACCTTAAAATTTTTCTAAAGGCGCCTTAGGCGCCAATCTATACTAATTTTGAGGGGAGGAAGCGCGCGCCAGAAAACGAGATTTTTTGTCAAATTTTTCCGCAAATGCCTAAAAACTAAATTGTGGCCAAAACAGGGTCTTTATAATGGTTTGGGAGAGCTCAGAAAAATAATTTGGTCGACCTAAAAAAAATTCACCCCCCCCCTCGAGAAATTCCTAGATCCGCGCCTGTTTTCAACAAAATACTTTTTCCAGATATCGATATAGGAAATTGGGAGCTGTTGAATGGCCGACTATGCTTTCTTCGTTGTAATTGCGTTGATTCGAACTTGCTTCATCTTTGAAGTGACGTAATACAATTTTTTTGAATAAAACGTCATTTCAAAGATGAAGTAGTGCGATAGCTCCTCTGTGATTCGCAGGAACCACATTATTATATTATTACAATAAGTTCGAATGTGCAAACGCAATTACAACAAAGCAAACATTGCTATTCATCAGCTCCTAATAAAGTATCTCGATGTCTTGAAAAAGTATTTACTTTATCGAATTATTATTGGCTTCAAGTTGTGCAACTGACCTGGGGATCGAACATATAGAATGGGACCCTTGAAGTTGTGTGGGCAGTATGGGGACCTCCCTGGGGCGATATCATGACCTCGGCGTTTCCATGGTCAGAGGTGACTAGCATTATGAAACCCTGTTTGGCACATGCCTCCTTGATCCTGCCTATGGCCACATCTGTGGCCTCGCACGCCTTCACTGCTGGCTTGTATTGACCAGTGTGGCCTACCATGTCGGGGGGAGCGAAGTTGCACATTACAAACGGATACTTGTTGCTCTCCATTGCTGAAACATGCATTCAAAATTAATTGAATCCAATAAATGAAAACAGCTCGGCTGCCTGATATCAACTTTCTCTGAAATGAATACCATAAACAACATCTCAAAAATTATTGATTAAAATAATATTTCTGTGCAGACTCAAAACTTCATTTATCGCAAAAAAAATCAAATTTTGCCAATTTGATTCAGGGGTAGATGGGTAATGATTGATTTTATGTGAATCTTATTGAGCTGACCCAACAAAACGTACTACAATGCATATACTTTTTTGTAAATAATAGCAGACCTGAAGTCGTATATCAATTAATCATTTCTGCGGAAATTCCGCCAAATATTTGTCAACTGACCTTTGATGACTTCGTCGGCCACTCCGGCGCAGTTCATCTCCGGCTTGAGGTCATAAGTGGGCACCTCTTTGGGCGAAGGAACCATCGTTCTCTCTTCTAGGTCAAATTGCTTCTCCTGTCCCCCGTTGAAGAAGAAGGTCACGTGGGCATACTTCTCTGTCTCTGCCACGTGCATCTGGGCCACACCCTTGGATCCGATCGCCTCGGCTAACACGTTGGCAGGAACCTGATTCAAAATGAAATTGTTCGAAACACAACAAATCTTAGCAGCTGAGCTTTACAAAACTACCATCTAGTCGAATGTTTCATTCCGGCCGCATATAAAACGATTTAAAATAACATATATGTTATTTGCTTTATAAACCAATATATACGGTAAAAACTAGCAAAAGTTTCGACAATGAAAAAAACAATCTTTCGACAATCTTTCAATTGTTAGTTTCACACGGTTGGTTCCCATGTTTAGACTTATAAGTTGAAAAACAGTAGCCAACTGAGAGTTGGAAAAGAGTTATGAACGCAAAGAAACAGAACTGACTTGTTTTTTGAAAAAATCTCAACCTTTTGAATTTCGAAGAAAAAATAAATGGCCCTAAACCTCTTCTTTTAATTTCTACAACAATTTATTGATGACAATTTTTTGATAAAATTAACCCAATTTGAGAAAACTGGATCAAAAGGTAAATTTTTAATTCCGCTGTGAAATCTGGAAAATTGAATTCCTCTTTCGACACTAGAAGTGGCTCACGTTTTTCATGACCTTTACATATTTGCTGTTCGATAGTGGAGTTTGCCTTCCTTTTAACAAAGCAAATGCACTGAATTAAAAAGAAAGTACAAGTCAAACCGCGAAAAATCAAAACTAAGCGTGAACAAATTTTAAGACTTTTTCCTGAAAAACAAACAAAACATCACCAAGACCTTTATAAGAGTCTTCACTACATTCATTACTCTTAATTAAATAACAATCGTGTGCGCAGAAGTCAGAGTTAGAAAAAGCACAATAATTCAATACTGGAGAATGACTATTAATCACCATTAACAGAAGGGTGTACTTTGACTCAAGCACTCGCTGCCAATTAATAAACTTCAAAATAAAAGTATTTACGGTTCTATAATACGAATTTCGGGTAGAACACATTACTGTGGCAAACCTGTGGGGGGAACAGCTGTGGCATGGGGAATGCAGCATTGTATTGGGTCATGCAGAAGATAGACGTGTCCTTGGGGACGACAGAGGTCTCGAAGGGCGGTTTCATTCCCAGAGCTTCCGCAATCTCTCTCATTCTGTCCGATCTGCAAATGAAAAAGAGCATAGTCGAAATCTTACCTAAGATCAAAGATCAATTCTCTTCTCTATCAGATGGATGTTATTTATTTCTCCTCATCAATTTAAGCGCTAGCAACGATAGCATTACAACCCAGCTTTCTTATTCTTTGGCACTATCTCTATAGTTTTTTTTGGGGGGGGGGGGGGCATTCTTGAGAAATGCAAATGCGGGCTAGGAGTCTGGTTACTTCAAAAGCGGAGTTCAGTTTTGTTCAGTTCACGGTTGTCACCAAGCTATCAATCAAAACAGACTAGCGTGTAACGCACTTCCGTGTTTCGAATTTTTGAGAACTCAAAAAAACCGCACATAAAAAAATATCTGCAGCCTTTGAACATACTCTGACAGCACCCAATAACAGGGTTCGTAATTTCAAATTTTGCTATGTTTTTGTTAAATCAAATTTATGAAAAACCATTAAACTTTGTGCATTTGAGCAGTCGCAAAAACTTAAAGCATTTGAGCAGTCGCAATTTGGGCGCAAAATTTGCAACTCCTGAGAGCACTCTCACAGTACCCCACTACGGTTAGGAATTTCAAACGTTGAAAAAAAACTGAAAAAAAAACCACAAAAACTTCACGACTCGAAAACTACTAAGACTTGAGCAGTCATATGTGGAGGCGAGATACGCAACCTCCTCGAGTACTCTGACAGCCTCAACTAAAGGGTTGGGAATTTCTAAACTTGAAAAAAAAACTAAATTCAAGTTTTCTGAATTTTTTTTGAAAAATTGCAAAAAATGTCATATCTCGATAACTACGAAGAATTGAGCAGTCATATTTTGATGCAAGATTCGCAGCACCTAAGAAAAATCTGAGAGCCCCCATTACAAGGATGGGAATTTAAAAAGTTGGAAAAAAAAGTAAATTAAACTTTCTGAAAATTTTTCAAAAACAATCACAAAAAACGTAATATCTCAAAAACTAAAATTATTTGAGTAGGCATATTTGTAGGCGAGACTCGCAACTCCCGAACGCTCTATGACAGCTTCCAACTAAAGGGTTGGGAATTTCAAATTTGAAAAAACATTGAATTTATGTTTTCTGAAAACTTTTTAAAAATTCTCAAAAAACGTCATATCTCAAAAAACTACAAAGACTTGAGCAGTCATATGTGGATGCTACAATCAAAACCCCCTCGAGTACTCTGACAGCCCCCAATTATAGGGTTGGGAATTTCAAAATTTGAAGAAAAAAAATGAATTTTAAGTTTTCTGAAAATTTTTTGAAAAAATCACGAAATCACGTAACCACACAGATTTGAAGTCATAATTGAAAGTAAGATTCGCAACCCCCGATACCACCAGTGGATTTAATGGGGAACAGACGCCTTCCCCAACCCCCCTTCAGGAATTCGACCCCCTGCCGACCCAGAGGGTCACCCCTTAGTACTATATTGAGCTATCCCTTTTTGGTGACGGACCCTAAAATTTTTCTAAAGGCGTCTTAGACGCCAATATATACCAATTTTGAGGGGGAGCTCGCGCCAAAACACGCAATTTTTTGGTCAACGTTTTCCAAAAAGGGGTCTTTATAGTGATTAGGAGAGCTCAGAAAATCAATTTAGTCGATCTAAAAAGGTTGACAAAATTTTCGAACTTAAAATCGACCCATCCCTCGAGTAAATCCTAGATCCGCCCCTACTCGATAGTATTATGCCAGCCCCCAAATAGTGTTGGAAATTTCAAAATTTGAAAAAATATATATTAGCTGAGAGCATTTGAGCATTCGCACTTGGATGCAAGATTTGAATCTTGAAACTCCTGAGAGTACCCTTACAGTACTTAACTACAAGATAAGAAATTTTAAACTTTTTGAACTTATTAAAATCTAAGTTTTCTAAAAAAAATTAAAAAGAAATCACAAAACACGTCAAAACCATAAAATGTCAGAAATCATAAAAACACGTCACAAAGATCAAAAAACTACACTAATTTCAGCAGTCATATTTAGAGGCAAGATTAGCAATCCTTGAGAGTACTCTAACAGCACCCAACTACAGTGTTGGGATTTTCAAATTCTGTAAATTATTTTATAAATTGAGTTTTCCGAAAAAAATTGAAAAAATTACAAAAATCGTCTTATCTCATACACTAAAAGGATTTGGAGACAAAATTCACAATCCCTTAAGTATTGCAATATGCGATATAGCTTAACCACGCATAGATAGGTTATGCCCTTAACTGTTGCAAAAAAAACGCGTGAACCTGGCAAGATACGTGTCACACGCATTTAAATTTGGTATAGATAGATATATTGATAGATAATAATTTTCAAAACAAATGACCAAATAATAAACTCATCACCAAGACGCTGCTTCAATGAACCACATTTTTGAAGAATAAGGAACTATATATAAGCTTCATAATAGCACCAACCAATTTTTTGTCAAGTTTTTTGAAAATTCAAAACCTTAAATAGCGAAGAACAAAAAATTTTCGGTTTGCATCGAACTTCCGGGTGTTGTCGCTTTATGCAGAGGCGTTAGAACCAAATACCTAGAGCAATCTTTGAACTTATAAAGAAAACAACTCCCAGAAGTTTCAACTAAACAAGATGAAGAACATTAAAAAATAGCAAAAAAAGGCCAAAACTTCATGGAAATCAAAAATAACTCGCCCAATATCGGAAAACAGAAAGAGAACTTCAATTGAAGTAAAAATGCTTAAATTTAAGGCAAATTTGGTGCTGTGGTAACTAAGCCAGCGAAAAACAAGCAAACAAACGAAAATCCGACAACGATTTATAGACGCGCAGACAGTTTTTGGTTGACAAAAACAACAGGTCCTCGCCGGATTGGAACCAATGACCTTTGTCTTGGTGTGTAAGCCCTTCAACACCTTCACTATTTAACGACTGATTTGTGCTTTCATATGAACCAAAAAACTGATTCAAGTGATTTTGTTCAACTAGTTGTTAACCCGAAGAGTCTGTAAAACGATTTGATAACGAATACTAATAGCAAGCATAATTATCTTCACCAAAAAAATTATATACCGCATGCCACTCAAACAATAGCAAGTAAAGTACTGAAAAATCTATCTCGTGAAAAGAAATAAACGAAAATTTTTTTACGTTTAGAAGGTTGATTTTAACCTTCTGAACGTAACTGTCAAATTGGTTTGGGTCAATTTAAAATATGAATACAGAAGCGAAGCTGGGCTTCGCAAAAACTTGCGACAACACGATAAAAAAGCAGCTTAAGGTAAAAAAAAAACGAAAGAAGCCTCGAGTTAATAGAACTTTGCTACCTATCGGATTTGCACCTGCGACCTCGAGATTTGGGATTCTCATGCCCCGCCCACCTTAGGTTAGAAGCAAAAAAAGAATCCTACTATAACGCTACCTTACTAAAGTTTGCAAATGTAAAAACAAACTAATAGAACAAAAACATTAGGTAAGTAAGCCGACACCCAATACACTGAAATTAATCCTAAATTTATCAAAAAAAAGCTGTCACAAGACTGGCATGGACCCCTTAAAAATCAATTGCAGCCCTTAAATATGTAGTACATGTAAGATGTAGAGGGTATATTAAATGGAACTTAGAAATAGATAAGGTAAATTAATATATTGACCATTCTGTGAACAAAGCTATTTATGGGAAAAAAGGGTGGTACCCGGTTGCAAAAACCTTGGCTTATCGCAAGGGTAACACAGAGGCGAATTAGAGCTTACCATCCCTTGCAATAGAAAAATGAAGGAATCTCATAAGTTACAGGTGAACCGACAAATCAGACAAAAACCTCAAATACTTTTCTCAAAAAAAATGATTAAGTTCGCAAAATATCAAAAATTTTGGAACTGAAATAACTGCAACTTAAGAAATTTTAGAAAAGAAGCAAACCACGGCACTGCAAATGATTAAATTCATACATAGCAGTACAAACTAACCGACAAAAAAGATGAAAGCTGAAAAAAAACGAAAAAACTTATTTAACAAAACTTCCCTAAATTCGTTTGAATTTGTCTTCAAAAATTCAAAACAAAAAATCCTTTCAAAACATATGCCTAAGAAAATTAAATGTTACACACATAAGCGAAGTTGAGCTTCGCACCACTTGCGATACAGCAAACATTAAAAAAATATATGTTAAAAAAGATGAGTAAAAAAACATGAGTAAAATAAAGATAAAATTTCAAAAAAACTAGGTGAACCATAATTTTCGTGTCTCGATAAAAGATAACAAGGCTCAGTTAAAGCTGAAAATACGTCTTTGCTATTTCTGAATTTGTCATACTCATTGAGGATGCAATGGGTAATTTTAAAATTTCAAAAATTGGACGTTGCCGAAAACCTTGTTTCACTACCAAATAAGTGAGAAGATAGAATTTTTTATAATAAAAATAAGCTTTTAACAAAAACATGAGGATTCGCCAGTTCAGCAGGAAAAATTTTGCAACCAGTTCTTTCAATGGGACCCTTCATCACAGTTTTGATAAAGGAAATCGGAGTTTCAAAAAAACGTCCAAAGTTCTCAAAAACACGGCTTTCCGAATTCATATTTTTTTAGCAAAAAACAGGTTGTTGCGACTCAACCAGAGACGATTTCTTGAGGGATTTTCCATTAAATAATGAACCTAAAAATTGGCAGGAAAAAAAAAGATTTTTTTGAAGGTCAACAAACCCAAATTATGACTTTTCCAAAAATCCTAGCTTTTTGAGCAAAAAATTTGACGTTGCCGTTTTCTCAGAAGAGACTCACACCGCCTGTTATTTTGATTGAACATAAAAATCAGATTTGGCTAATCAGCTTTCGAGAAAAGTCAAATAATTTCAAAAAACGGTAAAAAAAAATAGCAAAACTGACTTTTCCTAGGGTCAAAATGGGTTTAAAAAATGGGCATAGCCTCGTATGGAGGGGAGCTTCTTACAGTACTTTATTTGAGTTGAACCCAAATAAAGAAATCTCATTTTTGAAATTTTAACAAGAAATCTTCTCGCCAACTAACCACCCAAATATAAGATTTCTTGTTAAAATCTCAGTGGTTGCTCCCATTTTTTTCATACAAAAAGTTGTCGCTATCGCAAAATTCAAATTTTTTGATATTTTTGTAAATTTTTTTGCCTTTTCTCGCCAACTAACCACCCAAATATAAAAGGCAAAAAATTTACAAAAATATCAAAAAATTTGAATTTTGCGATGGCGACAAATTTTGTATGAAAAAAATGGGAGCAATCACTGAGACAGCGAAGCTTTCCACAAATCGTTCTTTTCTTTCAACCCACAATTTTAGCGATATCTCGAAAGCACAGCATTGGAAACAAGCAAATCGTAAGGAAACAGAAATACCAAAATCGAAAAACAAATTGGAAAAACCAGTCAAAAAACTCAACCAATAATAATAATATATAAATTTTTAGCACCTATTGAGCAGCCACTAAGCTGACAACAAGTGGTAAAAGGCCCATTGACTCGAAAACAAGAAAAATTCCACTAAAGATGCTGATTTAAAAAACCTTTCATTATTGGAAATTCAAAAAATAATAATCATTAACAAGCGGCAGTTTAGCCGACGAAACTTGAACAATTTTAGTACCGAAAATATAATTGTTGTCATAAAAAACTTTGAACTATATATTTTCGTTTTATGCGATCCAGAATAAAGCTTAAAACTTATGCTTCTCTTAAAATGATCCCAAATTAGGTCACAAAGCCGATAAAGTATAAGCCGAAGATAGTTAGAAAGCGAGAAACAAAAAACAGCAAAAAATACGAAGTCAACGCTAGTAAAATTAAACATAGCAGGAGTAATCAAAACACTAAAAGCAGCTAGAGTGAAAAGTGCGTACAAAAAATCAATTCAACGAGGTGGCAACTAAGCCGACGAAACATAAGCAGACAAACTATAGGCCGACTTTTTTACGAAAAGAATGTTTCTGTTTGAAAATAAGCAGTTACAGGTTAGATTCGATCAGAAGGCATAGAAGTTTGAATTCATTTTGAACCAAGATTGTACCAGAGAACCACTAAAGTACAAGTGATTCTGTTAAACAAGTTGTTAACGCGAAAAAAATCTATATTCCGGTTTGATAACGCTTGCTAATCGCAAGAGTAATAATAGCTAGAGAAAAAATTAATGACCATACTATGACAATTAATGAAAGACCATTCAATAGCGACCGCATGGACTTGACCACTCTTTTTAAATCGACTGTCCATTTACCTGTAGTTGAAGAGAACCAGAGTATCTCCGTCCTTCAGTTTTCCCTCCTCGAAGTCAGGTCCCACCACTATCGGCTTCATGAACTCATCCGTCTGTCTCTCCTCTCCCTCCTTCGCATACCTGTCCTCCATCAACTTCACTGCTGCATCTCCATCTGCCACTCGCTCCCCTTTCCTCTGAGTCAGCATCTCGTACGCAACCTAGGAGGCACAGACAGTCAGTCATCAATCCGATATTCCAATGAGCCGAAAAACGTTTGTCCACGCCAAAACCCTCATCAATTAATAGAAAACTCATTACAGTCAGATTTGAACAGAAATAGCGTCCGTAATTTGGTCTTCAGTTCTTAATCGTGGGATTTTTTATATGCACCAAAATGGGATTTTTTTATATTCAAACTTTAAACAACTTGTTTGTAATTTTAAACAACTTGTTTGTTCCCTTCTAGCAAACGAATTTGTTTATTTATAACTTGCATGAAATGCTAAGACTACAACAATTTCACGAAATGCTAAAATTAATAAACATTCGCATTATGACACATAATATATAATAAACATTCGCATTGCATTTTGGCACTGAATAATGTGTTCTTAGCTATTTATTCTAACTTACCTGCACTCGTTCCCATCTCTTATCCCTGTCCATTGCATAATACCTGCCAACCACATCCGCCAACTTCCCATAGCCTATACTCTTGAAATGCTCCAACGTAGTCTTCAGGTATCCAACTCCAGTTATAGGTCTCGTATCTCTCCCATCCCCGATGAAATGCAAGTACGCATCCTTCACACCCTCTCTTTTCGCCGCCTCAAAAAGCGCCATCATGTGATTTATGTGCCCGTGCACACCTCCGTCCGAGACCAAACCCATAAAATGGATTCTATTATTCGTCGACTTTGCTTTCTCAAATGCCTTCTTCAGATTTGGAATATTATACAGCCCCTTCTTCGGGTCTTCTCTGTGATCTACGGCTAAGTTGATCCGAACAAGGTCTTGATATAGAGCCCGGCCAGATCCGATTGTCAAGTGACCGACTTCACTGTTTCCCATTAGCCCCTCAGGTAGGCCGACAGCCAAACCGGAAGCGTCAATTGTTGTCGCACGAGGAGTATCTGCAGCTAATGCGTCCATCACAGGTGTTTCAGCAGCCTTGATTGCATTGCCTTCCGTGTTGTCTGATATTCCCCAGCCATCAATCACGATTAGACAAACTTTGTTATCAGTTGATGCCATTCAAAAACTAGAAAACAAACAATGTAGAGAGATGGACAAGGCCTTCTTAAATCATCAGCAGCAGGTTGATCTAATTATGATTCAGAATTTTCCAATCAGAAAAATCAGCTGCAATTTTCGAAGGAAGATTCATCTCGTCCTTTATAAGGAAATTGAATCAGTACCGAATTTCAGATTGGGTGCTCCCACCTTGAAAATTCGACTCCATTGTCCTCCAAAGTTAACCCTTTTTTTTGCAATTTTACATCCATTTTTGGTCAACATACTCCAATTTTTCACTGGAAGTGCGCAAAACGGCGTTATCTCTCAAAATTTACAGACAAAGAAAAAGTTGTGCTTCACAAAATACAAGCGAGAATATGACAAAAAGCAGCTCTATCAAGTTCAATAAGAACAAATAGAAACAAGCCTCGAATGAGTAAAAATTCGGCTACGTCTCGGATTCAAACATACTTCCTACTGCGACCTAGAAATTATAAGTTTCACTCCCTAACCAGTCACTCTCAATTAAAACCAAACACAAGCCACACATAAACCAGAGAACAGATGCTATGCAATTTCCAATGCTACAGTGAAATTTTCATATAAGTGAACACTTTCAATAAACATTTTTATTTTCGAGGTTCGTACTAATACACTAGCTGCTCGCAAGTGTAAATATGGGAAACAGACAAATGTTGTAAATAAGTGGCTTAACTTTACAGCGACACGTAATAAAAATATTCTTGGAAGTTGATCTTCAATCTGAATATATTCAAAAATTCAAAGCTGATTTGGTTTTGAGACAAAGCGCTATCTCAAAACACAAGTTTGTGCACAGCAATGCAAGTAATGGCAATGTGACGCTCCGATAGTGATGGTGCCCAGCTCTTCAAAGTAAGTCATAGCTTAGGAGGCGCTGAAGTCATTAAAAACAAATTTTTTCGAACACTCGACACATTTTTCAAGCCCTCAAAACTTGGCTTAAAATGTGAGAATTTCAATGAATTGCTCGCTTGTACAATAACTTTAACCCAATAATATACATCGGTGAATTTTTTCATTACGAAGCTCAAGAAATTGAATTCAGTAAAATGCCATTAAGCACTCTGCATCTTAATTTGTCTGCTACAAACACACTCATTCACAACAAGACTAAAAACAAGTTTTCGCAAGTTTCGAATTTCAGAGAAAAAATTAAGCTACAAGCTTGGCTCACACATTTTTAGCACCTTTTTTCTTGCCTTTCTTTTTTGAAATCATTGAATGATTCGTCTTGAAATACTTCTTCTGCTTTTTATATGACTTCATTTCATTGTCGCTGTTGGAATAAGACAGATTTTTTGCTGCTTTGTTTTTTGCTTCAATTTCTACAAACTTTTTGTAAAACTTCGAAATGCACGACTTTCCCTCTTTTTCCATACTTTGTTCCCACTTTTTGATTTCATCCGCATCTTGTACTGAAAATGTTACCCTTTCTCTTTCACTGGCTATAAACTGGGCACTTTCTTCCATTTTCTCGACTAACTGTTTAAATTTCTGGCAGTATTCTCTGTTCTCACAAACTTTCAAAAACTTCCGTATATGGACAATAGGCATAAGAAACAGTTCGGGTGAAGCTATACTGTATGCATGTAAGTTCATGACCTCAAGAATCAATCTGTACATGCGTTCTGTGATGCAATCGAGGAATCCCTTTTCGGTCAAATCACTCTCCGAGAAGCGAACAGTTCCCGAGAGGTTAAAAGGCCGAACACTCAGCTTCTTCGGCCTTGTATTGAAATCAGTCTGCGAGAAAATGTCAAGAATATGTTGGAAAATGGGAATGAACTTGCCGGTGCTCTTGGCCAACATTGTCAACATGTCAACACAGTGGAATCTGAACAAGCAATCAATTCAAAAGATCAGCTTTCAATTGTGCATTCCGTGTTTTTAAGTCCTTATTCTTCGTGCTTCAACAATCTTATGAACGAGGCACTATTTTTATTACTCCATATTCATAGATAAATCATCAAAAAATTTATTGGCAAAACTTTTTTGAGACATGATGATACCCTAATCAAAGTACGCTAATACTCGAACTCATACGCTAATACTAATACACAAACTCAACTCTCTTCCATACTGATTTTTTATACAAATTTTTAATCTGATTCAGTAACTAAAGAAAGATATAGACGTTATTCAAGATCAAATCACTCACCTTAATGGGTAGAATCTAGGACCACAAGCGTATGAAATGATTTCTTTGATAGTCTCCACAATTGGATACACAAGCGAGCTCAAGATCCCATAGTTTTTAATTGACCCATACAAAGATACCCACAAGTACAACGTGTGCACAGTCTTCCAAGAACACAGTTCTGGTTGCATTTCTTTTTTCTTGTCAATAGTGACTGCTTTAACCAATAGAACAATTGATTTCAGAGAGTCGAAAGCCTGTTTATAAGTGAAGTTGATATCCAATGCAAAAAGCTGCACTAAGCATTGCTGCATGAAGGCTATTTTTGGCAGTGTTTCTAATGACGATGCTGCTGCTTTTTTCAAATAAGCCGAAAACGCTTTCCGCGCAATTTCTTGGTAGTATTGTTCCATGTCTAGCTTCGCTATTCGTTCAAGTAAAAGAAATGAACTGATTTCAAGTTCATGGTTCGATCTATCCGCCCAGCATTCGGAAACGACTTTCACAACCTGGTTCACAACTTTCGGGTAACACCTTAAACAATCAATTTATACAAGAATATTAACCGGACTGATTCCAGATGTAAGAAAAATTTGGTATAAAATCAACCCCTTTCTATTCCAAAACGAGGTATTAAGCAGTTTTGATATCAGCATTTGTTCAACAGTCAAATTGGTCATTACCCCCTAAAACACTTACATCAGGTAATTCCTCATGACAAGGAGATGCTTCAATATCTTATATGTCAGAGGCTGCTGAAGAGACGCTTCCACAATTTTACTACACGATGTGAAATATTTGTTCAGAGGTGTCGCAATGTTGACCCATTTGGGAAGGCTGTTATAAGGCATATCTCTCTTATCGGCCACTTTTGTTCCCAGTAGTTTATTCAAAGTTGGTTTCAAGTGCAATGCTGCCAGATCCACGATCGAAGCCAGAAGTAAATCATCTGCTTCGTGGTTCTCGCCAGAGGCAATTTTCAGTTTAGACGCATTTGATCCATACGCAGCAACCATGGGTGACGAAACCTGTCAGTACCACAGAATGATCAGAAAAAAAACTTTCGAGACTCACCGTGTTTACTTCTAAAACCTTTTTTGTTTCGAAAAAACTTTCAACCGACCAACCCTAAAACCGTTTAGTCCCAATTATATCAACTAATATTTTTTTGCCATACTATAATTAAACCAAAGAGGGAGCACTGGGTCTACAGATTACTGTTTGAAATTCACAAAAACGAGATCCAATTCAGAAGCTCAACTAAGTAAGCCGTCATTTCCACTTTGTCTTAGTCATTGAAGTGCTCTGTTAAGAAAGTCGAATTTGAAAAGAAAGAAAAAGAAGTCGTCAAAACTTCAATGAGCGTGAAATAATATTTCATTGCATTGTTTATTGAAGTTCAATTCCGTATTTCTCCATTTTTTTTTTTCAAAAAAAAACTATAATCCGTTCGCGTCGCATATGTCATTTTGTCGAAAACGAGAGCATAAAGTCGAAATTATTGTTTTCACACATTGAAATACACGCAAAGTCTAAAAAATACCTGAACAAAGGCACGCATAAGACTTCTGCAGGTTGCTATAGTAGCCGAATTACTCTCAAACAACTTGGTCCACTTTTTCACTCCTCTGATTAGTGATTGATCGACAACATCATCTGGTTCATCGGCATCGTCAAAATCATCGGCGTCATTTTCATCTCCGACAAACTCCGACTCTTTCTTATCTAGGTCGGATTCATCTGCTTCGGCTTCACTGTCGTCTAGATCCCCATCTTCGACATTTAGTAAATTGGGATCTTCATTTTCCAAAAACTTTGCGAAAGCTTCATCTTCCCCATGCAAAAGCTTACTTACCTTGCCAGCTGGTTCATCATCTGACTCTAAACACATCACAACTTCTGATTTTCAAGAAACAGCTTTTGATTTAATGGTCATAAAGTTGACAACTTGCCTTCTATTTCTGCAGATAACTTCGTGGACTTTACTTTCTTGATATTCTTTTTCTTAGATTTGGTTTCCTTGACTATGTTATAATCGCCACCTTCAAACGAACCAAAGAACTCGTCGATGGGTTCCATGTCTAACTAAAAGCTGGGTTACGTTGCAGCATTTAGACAACCGCATATTCATACTCGTCAGTGGGCAGACAAACACTATATCAACCAGAAAAGCAACAAGGAGAAAATAACAATAGTAAACGATTAATCCGAAGTATCAGAATAACCGAGGTTACAGTCAGGAGTCCCTTAAACCTATATTCCAGTCAAAATACTATGAACTTTCCAGATAAGTCTAACAATCGCCCGGAAATACATTTGTTGTTGTTGTTGGGGATTCACAGCACTGCTGTTGGGATTCTTGGTCCCGGCGTCTTCTCTAAAACAATGTCCACTTGTTTCTGCACGTGATACCGACGGAAAATACAGCTAGGTTCTAAAACGACTGGCTAGCGTCTAAACACAGCTCTACATGCTTTTCACAGTCTCTGCCAAAGCCAGTTCTTTTGGTGGTCTTTCTAACATCGGGTCGACAAAAACGTTACTGTTTCCGGCTTCGATCAGAACGCTCTAATTAACCGAATAACATGCAAAAATAGTGAGCTCATGGCTGGGTCTCAGTATCCCCAGACCACGAGGTCACTCCTAAAAACAGGGCTACAACTTATTTATTATATTACTATTGTTTTTGTTCAGTAGATAAAAATCATCATCTCCATCGAGGATGGATCAACCCTTTCCCTTAACTCCTAGCTTCTCATGATCTGAAAATGAATTTAGATGTTAATTGAAATCACTTTTATCCACGTCATATCGACTCACTGCAAAATACAAATAACACCACACTACACTATTATAGCCATCAAAATTCTACCACCAATCTGCACTTTCGAGGATATGACTTAAGAATAAAAAAAATTTCTGAATTCTAATGTCTATGTCCCGTTTTAAAACTTTTTCTCCTAGGTTTAAAAAGCGTTGGGACGCAGGACGGTACTGCCAACCACCAAATTAAAATTATTCTACTAAGCTTCTTCCCTTCGGAAATTTAGTTGTTATTCGTCCTGAATATTAAAAGTAAGGAACTCGGTGGTTAGAAGGAACAATGAAATAATCGCCCTCTTCCAGAGATCACCCAGGCCATTTTTGTCACCACAAAGGGATCAGTCATCTTAGTTGATTAAAAACAATCATGCAGGCTGGAATACTTAGTATACTCTCCACTTAAGCCTTTCTAAATAAATAGTAAGTGACTATAAAGCCACTAACTGAAATCAAAAAGCAAATTTATAAATGCAACAAACTCTTTAATCTTCAAAGTCAACTAAATGTTTTCTCTTCAGTTTCAATTGCAAATTTAGTTGCTTTGCCTCTCATTTGAGTTTTTCTCACACAAAACAATTCTGAGTTTTAAACACTTCTCTTTTGTTGCTTCTTTGTTTCTTTCTTTGTTTTGGTCGTTTAGAAGTTCTAAAACTACTAAATTCTTCTATTTTTTTTTCTTTTCGCATCTTGTTTTTCGGCTATTTTTCAATGCTCCATCTCCTCCTCCTCCTGCGACATTGACTCCGCACTTTCAGTCTCAGTGTCTTGCAACACGTCGGTAGCTATTCTGACGCTTTGGGAGGCAGTCCTTCAACACTTCTGCTCTTCTACTCTTTGTTTGCAACAAGGTAGAGGATCAACGTTAGTCTCCTTTTTTCGACAGAAGCTGTTGTGGAGGCACAACGTCACGTTTCTCTCCAAGTCTTCCTTGAACATTTCTTCTCTTTCTGTCCTGTCACAATGACTTGTCCTAGACGTCCTCTTCACTGCGGTGGTTACTGCATTCCGAGGAGTTATACAAAAACTCGCTTGAAAGCTCCTGCTCCAATGTCCAGCTGATACGCACTGTACACTCTTCTGTGCTTCGACATATGCTTCTTGGCCTATTCGTACAACCATGCAGTCATGTTGACTCTGATCCATGGTGTAACATTCGCCCGGAAGATACATATCGACGGATAACAAAACTAAGTCTTAAGATACTGGCTAGCGTCTAAACAGAGCTTTGCATGTTTTTCACCGTCTCTACCAAGCCAGTACTTTTCGGTGGTCTTTTCTAACATCGGGTCGACAAAAACGTTACTGTTCTCCGGCTTCGACCAGAACGCTCAAATTAACTGAATTACATACAAAAATAGTGAGCTCATGGCTGGGTCTCAGTATCCCCAGACCACGAGGTCACTCCTAAAAACAGGGCTACTATTTATTATATTACTATTGTTTTTGTTCAGTAGATAAAAATCATCATCTCCATCGAAGATGGATCAACCCTTTCCCCCAACTCCTAGCTTCTCATCCTTATCAAAATGAATCTAGATATTAATTAAATTCAAGTCAGGACATGACAGGAAGCTAAAAGTTCACACGAGTCAATAAAAGTTTTCCGTCCCGAGACCCTTCCGGATTCTTGAATCCGCTGAATCAAGCCCGTTGATCTCGATTTCTTCCCAATCCGGAAGGCTGGTTTCTTACCCTTCACCGTTGTTCGCAACGGCCTTGCAACTATTGTAGCAGCACAATAGTTGCAACTCGGAACGTTCTCTGCAATCTGCTGCTGTTTTTCAATCACGATTGTCGTTGCTATCGTCAGCGCAACTAATGTTGTTGTGTTTTCTCTCTCGTTTTTTGTTAAAAATGGCCGTTTCAGCATTTCTCAGAAATGTTACGTCATCACTTCGAAAATTTAAAATTTTAAAATACGGGAATATCCTGACCTTCACCGTTCTGCTAATCATCCGAATAACGTCGTTAATCCTTCAAAATCATTAATTCGGAAGGTTCACTGCTAAAATTTCGAAGTCTGCAGAGATTTCATTTTGGCCATTCTGGTCGAATGTCACATACTCCCTGGACAGTCCGGTCAATGTCCTCATTGAATCGCGCAATATTCGTAAAATGGTTACAGTGTCATCGAACAGAATTTACAAAATGCACGAAATTACTTTTATCCACGTCACATCGACTCACTGCAGAATATAAATGGCATCATACTACATCACTATAGCCTTCAAATTCTTTCATTAATCTGCACATTGAGGATATGACTTAAGATAAAACATTTTTTCTGACTTCCAGTGTCAATGTCCCGATTAGAACTTTTTCTCCTAGATTTAAAAGGTGTTGGCTTGCAGGACAGTCCTGCCAACCAACAAGCTAAAGTTATCCTACTATGCTCCTTCCCTTCGGAAATCTTGCTTGTTTATTGTCCTGAATATTAAAACTAAGAAACTTTGTGGTTAGAAAGAACAATGTAATAACCTCCCTCCTCAAGAAGTTACTCAAGTTTTTCATGTCACCACAAAGTGATCAGTCTTCCTAAGTGATTAAAAACAATCATGCAGGCTGGAATATTTAAATATACTCTTCCCTTAAGCCTTTCTAAATAAATAATAAGTGTCTCTAAAGCCACTTCTGCTAAAATCAAAATGCAAATTTATAAATGCAACAATTTCAAAACTCAACAAAATGTTTCAGTTTTCAATTACAACTTGGTTGCTTGGTTTCTCACTTGAGTTTTTCACACACATAAAACAATTCTGAGTTTTGACTTTTCTTCATCATTCCTTTGTTCTCTGCTTTTTTCGTCGTTTAGAAGTTCTAAAACTTCTAAATTCTTCTAATTTTCTTTCTTGTTGCCTCTTGTTTTCTCGACCATTCGTCGATGTTCCATTTCCTCCTCCTGTGATGCTGACTCCGCACTTTCGGTTTCCGTGTCTTGTAGCACGTCGTTGGCTATCCTGACGCTGTTGGAAGCCGTCCTCCAACACTTCTGCTCTTCTACCCTCTGTTTACAGCAAGGTAGGGGATCCACGTTGGATTCTCTGTTTCTACAGAAGCTGTTGTGGAGACACAACGTCACGTTTCTCTCCAGATCTTCTTTCAGCATCTCTGCCTTCTCATTTCCACTACGCTCACTTGTCCTGGAAATTCTCTTCACAGCGGTGGTCACTGCATTCCGATGGGTCACGAAAGCTCGCTTGAAAGCTCCTGCCCCAATGTCCAGCTGATATTCACTGTATACTCTGCCATGCTTCGACATATGCTTTTTCGCATACTCGTACAACCATGCAGTCATGTTAGCTCTGAACCATGGCATCAATCGTTTTCTCGCCCATATCTTCTTCACTTCCATCGGAATGTTTAGAACTTTGCACATTGTCTCAAAAAGATCTAAATCTTTTAGACAATCTAATTTCCGCAATTGTTCTCTCGTCGGCGCCTCCCGTCTATTATTTTCTCTCACATGAGCTTCCAGCCATCGTATTGCCATCATAACTCCCACTATCACTATTGTTATGGGCTGTGATGAATCTGGTAAACCCATGGAGAGCAGCTCTCCAGAGTCCCAGATCAACACCAGATTACTACGCTTGGGATACCACCAGGTCTGCAGCAAGCAGTGGCAAGGAAACTCGTCATGTGTCAACATGATGCTCCTCCAATTACGTTTTCCCGAAGCTTCCAGCAATGGTTCCACTTCCATCATCACTCGGTGGATTTCATCATTCTCATCTACTGCATTGTAATCTGAGACAGTTGATCCTCTCTGTTTCTGTTTTTCGAAGTCACTGAAGTTCCCGCTCACATATCCCATGAACTTTTTTCCTAGTATTGACTCCAACTCTTCTTTGGTTCTCTCTGGAATTGCTGAGAACATCTTACATAGTAACTCGTAAGACTTTTCAGACATTCTCGCCAATCTCACACACTTCGGCACTGAGAAGGCTTGATCCACAATCGTTCTTGTACTCTTCACGTCCACAGCTACGAAATGTACAGGATATCTGCTCTTGCACATTGGAGCCAACGTTGAGCCCACCAAATATCGTGCTCCTGATTGTCTACAATAAGTTTCGCTGTGTCTGATGTTCAACTCTGTTTCGATTGCTTCCCTCCATTTTCCTATGTATTTCTGCTCAGTGTGCAGAACTCCTGGGAATACTTCTACGCTGATGGCTGTGACCATCTCATGTTTCTGTTCTAGATTCAATAGTGACTCTAAAGAACCAAACATGCTGTAGAATCCTAGTGCAGTCACTAGATTCACATCGGTTCCTCCATGGCAATCTGCTATCAGTTCCGTTTCAGTTCTTGCTTTCATCACTACATTTCCAAACAA